CTGGTCAGTTTCTATGCCAGTCAGTGTCTCTAGGCCTATCAACGGGGCCTGATCAGAAAGGCGGGGCTGATCAGCGGCCCCAGTGGAGGCCTGGAGAGAAATGGAGGTGCGGCTGTTGGCCAGGCTGGGAAATAAAGAGAGGCACGTTCTGATCAATGGCTGTCACAGCGGCTACGGATCAGATGCTGCCTCTCTCTCTCTCTCTGCAGGCCTCTCTCCAGGCCTGATCTGCAGCCCCCTAGGCAGTCAGTGCTGGGTTGCCCTAACCCAGCACTGACTTCTGGTCTGGTCGAGCCTTGGGTCATTACACCCTGGCTCTTTATTAGATTTTTAATTTTTCAATTACAGTTGACATTCAATATTATATTAGTTTCATGTATACAGAACAGTGGTTATACTTTTATATAACTTATGAGTGGTCCCATCAATAAGTCTAGTTATCCAACTGACACCACCCATAGTTATTACAATTTAATACAGACCATATTTCCTGTCTGTACTATACATTCCATGACTATTTTATAATGACAGCAGAGGTTTTAAGGGTAGTATTTCAAGGTCTAATCCTCAGACTACAATTTAATACAGACCATGTTTCCTGTCTGTACTATACATTCCATGACTATTTTTTAGGTTTTAAGGGTAGTATTTCAAGGTCTAATCCTCAGACTTTCCTATCAGAGAGCGGTATGTTATATCCAAAGAAGGTAAGTCTCTTGGTAATAGTTAATAGATTTCACTATTAAAATTTAACTGGAAATGGTCATTTTAACTGCAATGTCAAATTATTTATAATGGGAGATAGCTCATATAATTTATCCACTATCTCCTTCCCAATATTAAATACTAGAGGCCCGGTACATGAAATTCATGCATGGGGGGGGGTGGTCCCTCAACCTGGCCTGCACCCTCTCCAATCCTGGACCCCTTGGGGGATGTCTGACTATGGGATCGGGCCTAAACTGACAGTCAGACATCCCTCTCGAAATCCGGGACCACTGGCTCCTAACCGCTCACCTGCCTGCCTGCCTGCCTTGTCACCCCTAACCACTCTGCCTGCCTGCTTGATCGCCCCTAACTGCCTCTGCCTGCTGGCCTGATAGCCCCATCCGCTTTCCCCTGCCGGCCTGATTGCTCCTAACCGCCTCTGCCTCGGCCCCTGCCACTGTGGCTTTGTCCAGAAGGAGGACCAGATGACCGGAAGATGTCTGGTTGACCCGGTCTAATTAGCATATTACACTTTTATTAGTATAGATTATTAGTATAAATGTACTTGTCCATTGTACACATTGTAAGAGGGACATCTGACTTTCTTTCCTTCAGTCTTCACTGAAGCATAGCTCATCATGCCTTGTTCTCTCTGGGTATCAGGCCCATGATCTGTTAGAGCAGTGGTTCTCAACCTTCCTAATGCCACGACCCTTTAATACAGTTCCTCATGTTGTGGTGACCCCCAATTTCATTGTTACAAATTGAACATAATTAAAGCATAGTGATTAATCACAAAAACAATATGTAATTATATATCTGTTTTCTGATGGTCTTAGGCAACCCCTGTAAAAGGGTCGTTCGACCCCTAAAGGGGTCACGGCCCACAGGTTGAAAACTGCTGTGTTAGAGCCTTCTGGTATCAGGTCCACAGCTTCTGGTTTCCCAGGACTCTCTTAGAATTCCTAGCCTTCAATGTGGACTTGGGAGTCCTGGTCTATTTCCTCTCTCTATACTCCAATGTTCTGTGAGGCTATACATAGAACTTATTACTATTAGGACCTTTATTTTGGCACCATGTTAAAAGTAGAACTTCTTTCTGAGGCTTGTGGTCTTCTTCTCTACAGGATAGACACAAGTCTAGATATTCTTGAATATGTTTTCCATCTATATAAAATTTCTATTACCTCCTCCAAATGAAACACAGAGGGTTGGGGGAGTGAAGTGCTGTGTAACTTTGGAATCTAGGCAGCATCAAAACCAATTCCCACATTCTTAGATCCATGACCAGACCTCCCCACACCAATGTACATCCAGCATCCAGGGTGATTCCTAGCATATATCAGGTGTCTGATGAATTAGCTTCACAAGAAAAATAGGTTTTTTCTGTTTATATAAATATTACATGCTCATTGGAAAGAAAAACAAAAAAAATATAGAAAAATGCAGAAAAGTTAAACAAAAAACACCTGATACTCCACCAACTCTGAAACAGCCATCAAGTTTTGGAGACCATCCCTTCATTCATGGATCTCAAAAGTTCACACAAATACATAATTTTACATAGAATTTTGTACCATACATGTTGCACTTTCATTTCTCTTTTTCCCCAGTCTTTTTCCTTACTCATCACCTACTTCTCCTCTTCTCCACCTCCCTTCAAGTTAACCAATGTTAACTGTCTGGTGTGGATTCTTCCATACCTGTTTCCATGTTCATCTAATCACATACACACAGGAATACAGAAATGGGTGTAATTATTTAACAAAAATGAAATATTACACATATACATATCTGTAAGAAAGCAGTTACTTACCAAAAATTATGCAAATGCCTTGGAATCAATTATTGTAGATATAACTCATTTTAAAAATTACTCTTATGCTATTTCACACATCAGGATATATCACAATTCATTCAACCATTCTCCTATTAGTAGCCATTCATTTTGTCTTTATGTGTATTCTTATGCATTAACGCTGTTATTTCTGTGGGATAGACTTCTGGGTCAAAGCTTTTTATTTTTAACCTTTTGGTAAGAGTACATGGTTTCCCAAACCCCACTCACAAATCTTTTAATTTTGCCAACTCCATGAAGTGAAAGTAATACCTCAGAGAATGTTGTAATTTTCATTTCCCTGAGTACTATTTAGGTTCATAATATTTTCATAGGTTAATGGCCATTTGGAGTTGATCTTCTATCAATACCCCTCCAGTCCAGAAGGGTTAAAGACTTCAATGTAAAAAATAAAATTACCAGAATCTTAGAAACAAATTTAAGAGACTATGTATAACCTAAGAATTAAGGAGACCCTTTAACTAAAATAGTACATCAAGAAAAAAAGGAAAAATGAAAAAAATATATTTTACTACAAAAATAAAAATATGGTGACTTCTATTATATAAAAATAGGAAGACAAATGCTAGATTAAGAAAAACATCTGCAACACAGATGAAAAAAGATGAATATCTAAAAAATATAAAAGAGCACTTCCAGATTTATTAAACAAACCAATAGAAAAAAAGGCAAAAGTATATAGGCAATTCATTAAAGATAACCTGTTACATGAATAAAGTATCAAACCTGGATGAAGGCTTTCATTTGTCCATTATTGCACTCCACTGTGAATTTCCTTATAAGATTTAATATGATTAAATGTTTTTCCTCATTCATATGTTTATAGACTATTTTTTTCTGTATCTTCTGGTAAATTGATTCCTGAAAGTCTTCCCACTTTCATTATATATACAGATTATGATTTTTCTTATAGACAACTGGATGACTTATTATTCTTTATATTAACGGAGTTTTTCTCTGATGTACTCTTTGATGTACAGTAAGGCTGGAGCTACTCCTAAAGGTTTTTCCACATTCATTACATTTATAGGGTTTTTCTCCAGTATGCATCCTTAGGTGTACAGTAAAGTCTGAATTTGTTCTGAAGGCTCTTCCACATTCTTCACATTTATACGGCTTCTCCCCAGTATGAATTCGCTGATGTAGAGTTAGCTGTGAGAGAGTAATACAACCTTTCCCACATTCTTTACATGTATAGGGCTTTTCTCCAGTATGTGTTCGCCAATGCACTGTAAGGTATGAACCCCTCCTGAAGGCTTTTCCACACACATCACATTTATAGGGTTTCTCTCCACTATGGATTTTCTGATGTTCTGTGACATGTATCATCTGGCTAAATGCTTTCCCACAGTCATTACATTTAAATGGTTTCTCTCCAGTATGTGTTCTCTGATGGGTATTAAATCCTGAGTTACTTGTGAAAACCTTCCCACATTCATTACATTTATAGGGTTTTTCTCCACTATGCCTTCTTTGGTGCACAGTAAGCTGTGATGTATTAGTAAAAGCTTTCTCACATTCATTACATTTATATGGTTTTTCTCCAGTATGGGTCCTTTGATGTACAATAAGGTATGACTTAGTCCTGAAGGATTTTCCACAATCACAGCATTTATAGGGTTTCACTCCAGTATGAATTTTCTGATGCTCCTTAAGATTTACCATTTTGGTGAATGCCCTTTCACAGTCAGTACATTTATATGGTTTCTCTCCTGTATGAATTCTCTGATGTACAGTTAAGTGTGATTTTATTCTGAAAGATTCCCCACATTCATTACATAGATAAGGTTTCTCTTCAGTATGAATTCGTTGATGTATAATTAGAGATGAAGAACGCATGAAGGCCTTTCCACATTCACTACATTTATAAGGTTTCTCTCCTGTATGCATTCTGTGGTGTACTGTAAGGCATGAATAATTAATGAATGCTTTCCCACATTCATTACATTTATAAGGTTTTTCTCCCGTATGAATTCTCTGATGTTCTGTGAAATTTGCTATACGATTGAATGCTTTCCCACATTCATTACATTCATAGGGTTTTTCCCCAGTATGAGTTCTTATATGTACAATGAGGCTTGAATTACTTCTATAGGCTTTTCCACATTCATTACATCTAAAGGGCTTCTCTCCAGTATGAACTCTCTGATGAACATTAAAAATTGTGGTATTCTTGAAGGATTTTCCACACTCATTGCATTTATATGGTTTCTCTTCAGTATGGGTCTTCAGATGTACACTAAGATATGACTTATTCCTGAAGGCTTTCCCACAATCATTACATTTGTAGGGTTTCTGTCCATTGTGAGTTTCTTGATGTCGTGCAAGTTTTGATTTATCACTAAAAGCCTTCCCACATTCACTACATTTATAGGGCTTCTCTGCAGTTTGAATTCTCTGGTGCTGATTAAGGCGTGCACACTGGCTAAAAGATTTTCCACAGACATTACACTGATAAGGTTTCTCCTTAGTATGAATTCTCTGATGTACCATCAGTGATGAAGAAGCAATAAAGGCCTTTCCACATTCGTTACACTTATAGGGTTTTTCTCCAGTGTGAATTTTTTTATGTTGACTAAGATATGAAGGCTGACTAAACATTTTCCCACATTCATTACATTCATAAGGTTTTTCTTTAGTGTGAGTTCTTTGATGCTGAATGAGTAATGACCTATAACAAAAGGCCTTTTCACATGTACTGCATTTATAGGGTTTTTCTTTGTTATTATTTTTTCCCCTTAAAGTAAGTTCTGAAGCAGGCTTTATAGCATTGCTGCCTTCCGTATCCTTGCAATTTTTCTTCCCCAAATGGGTATCTGTATTCAAATCTAAATTCTCTGTGAAATTTTCCTCATGATTTTGGCATTTGCTGTGGAACTCTTCTGTGGTAACTCCTGGTTCTGGACAAAATATAGACCCAAATTTAATGCCTCTTTGGCCAGTGTGAATTTTCTTCTGTGTAACTATTCTTTGGCTCTGACTCTCCTGACTATTTTGCAGTCTCAATATCCTGTCATTCCATTTCCATAATCCTCCCATTCTGGAGTCCCATAGACCATTCTCTGCAAGTTTATCTACTCTGGTCTCCTGTGACAAATCTTCAAAGATATCCTCTGTTAGTATAGCATATTTGGTTGCTGGTTTGGTCTTCAACTCTGGGGAGGGGAAAAAGAAAAATCAAATGAGTCCATTTTCTACGTTAGGGAGTTCTTACTGAACTGAATAAGAGGAAAACTTGGGCTGACACTGAATATGTTGTTTTTAACTGCTTGTAAATTGGCCTTCTTTTCTAGGAAGAAGGAGCTAAAGTTAAGGGAGGCTGGTTGAGCAATGAGCCAAATTAGTAAATTCAAGGAGTTTTCCTCTATTCAAAAAAGTCATTTATGGTAATGGTCCTAGAATATTTGAGAATAAGTCTCTCAAATATTTCTCTTTCATTTCCTTTAGCATCAACTTCAATTTCTCTTTTTAAAAATCCTCACCCAAGGATATTCTTTTCATTGATTTCTAGACAGTTGAAGGGAGGGAGGTGAGGGAGAGAGAGAGAGAAACATCAACCAGAGAGAGACACAATTGCATTTAAGGTAAGAAGCTTACTAGAAAATCCCCATATAGTTCAAAATAAAGAAAAATATTGCACAATAACCTGAGGGCCAAAGACATAACAGTAGAAATGATCAAATACTTCGAACTCAATAATTATGAAGGTGCTATATAACAAAAGATGTGATACAGTCTTGGTAACCTTAAATATATTAAAAATGGCTGAAAATCAATGATTAAGAAAAGGTCAGTAAATTAAACCCTAAGAAGGTAAAAATAATGAAATAAGAGACATAATGAAACAAATTAAACACACAATAGAAATAATAAAAACTATTCTTTAAAAGCCAAATAAGATTGATAAACCCTTGCAAGACTGATTAAAAGATAGGAGACAAAAAAATTAATCTCACACATAAAAAGAGATCACTTCAGATCCACATAGACATTTAAAAAATCAGCAGAGGGCAGTGTGCCATAAAATTTAAATGTTAGATTAGATAGATCAATAAACCTAATTTATTGAAAAAAAGAAAAGAAATAGGAAATAGTTCTAAAACTACAAAAGGAATAGAAGCTGTAATTAAAGGCCTTGCACAATAAAAACTTCAGGTCAACATGGCTTTCCCGGTGAATTCTATGTACCATAAAATATTTAACTTTCCCTCTCTCTCAACTCTTTATTGTCACGATAAATTGATGGTCTTGCTTTATATTTTATTGAGAATATAGGTGCTATTAAAATAAAATGCCTCCATCTTCCCACTACCAGTTGACCTATGTCTTCTCCATCTTTCCTAGTGATACAACAGGGGAGGTGGCCTCCCTGTCTATTCCATTCTAGATTCCCTCCTTTTCCATTCTAGATTTTCATCCCTTTTTACCTTTTTAGACACTTTAGTAGCTTTAGCTCCCATGGGGTATTTCTAATGTCTACTTTTTATTCAATCTTTAAAAATATATATACTATCTAATCCAGTGATGGCGAACCTTTTGAGCTTGGCGTCTCCAATGTCTACTTTTTATTCAATCTTTAAAAAAATATATACTATCTAATCCAGTGATGGTGAACCTTTTGAGCTCGGCGTGTCAGCATTTTGAAAAACCCTAACTTAACTCTGGTGCCGTGTCACATATAGAAATTTTTTGATATTTGCAACCATAGTAAAACAAAGACTTATATTTTTGATATTTATTTTATATATTTAAATGCCATTTAACAAAGAAAAATCAACCAAAAAAAATGAGTTCGCGTGTCACCTCTGACAAGCGTGTCATAGGTTCGCCATCACTGCCTTAGACAGTGGTTCTCAACCTTCTGGCCCTTTAAATACAGTTCCTCA